CGATGTCCGATAATCAGTTTTAAGGCCGATACCGATAGGGGGCCGATTATATCGTGCATCCCTAGTCTCAATTCAGTTCTGTTGAAATGTTAATATAAGGAGCTTCCCCAAACAGTTGCCTCTTTCCCGACAATCCTCTCTGTGCACAAACCATATGGTAATTACACATAAAAAACCTGCGGCTTATAGTCCAGTGTGGCCTGTATATGTACAAATCATGCAATTTAGCTTCTGCGGCTTATATTCAGGTGCAGCTTATAGACTGAAAATTACGGTACTATATATACCAAATCCTAACTGGGTTGGTGTTTTGCATAGGTCTGTCCATTACAGAGAAAAACCTTAGACACTCTCATACACAACATCTATAGAGCAATTTAAAGCAACCTATTAGGCTAGCATATGTCTTTAGGCTGTGGGAAGGAGGGGGAATACCCAGAGATGCATGCTCAGGGAGAACATGACCATTAAGTCCAGGAGGATTCCTGCTGAGATTCAATTACAAGACATTCTTCCAAAAGTTTGATTAATCCACTAAATATGTAGGAAACAGATAAATGACATGAAAGAAAACACAGGAGCACAAGGGATCTATACTAGGGCGGGGCTTTATGACTTCAATTAAAATATTATCATAATATTTTTTGATACTATGATAACGACAAAAGTTAATATATAAAAAAAGATAACTGTTTTGCTGAGACTGCATGCCACAGCAGTGATAGCCCTGAATGAACAGATACTACTTTTAATAATTGTACCAATTTAAAATAAGCATCTTCAGACACCACTTTCACAAAGAAGTATGATTTCTATCACAAAAACTACAAGGCAAATTAAAAATTCTGAAAATTCACACATTTTTATTGATTTAAACATCATTCATTGTAATTTATCACTTAGATAATAAATCAAAATTCTTATCATGATGAGGAATTTATAATGATAATGACAAATGGTATGATTAATGCCCACCACTAATCCATACATAGCGCATCAGTAACCTAAGAGGAAGAGTTCTACTAATATAAACTGCAGTTGAAATAAAATAATAATAATAATGATGGTATGAATATATAATTTCTGCTGTTCAGCATTGTTGCTGTAAAGCACACAGGCACCAACACTCCCATTACTCCTGATAGGCTTGTTTCTGAATAGAAGCAGCTGAAAGTCTCTATGTCCTACACATAATCAGTCTGTGTTTTCTTCATTGTTTTTTTAAATGAGAACATGCTGTTCATTCCTAAAAATGTGGTTGGTTGAAAATGAATCGACTCGTATACCATCATACAGTAGAGTCATATCTGCATTCTGTCTTTCATTCGGTTCAGACCGTAAAACACAGCTGCAGCTCATCATCAAAGGTTATTAGTAGAAAGAGCAATTATGTACTTAATTACAAAACCTATAGACTTGTGCTTCATCCAGACAGAGGAAGCATAAAGCTAAAATCTGCAGCTAATGAATAGTACTCTTTATAGTTTTAGTGCTCTGGCTGCAGGCAGAGTAATGTTCAGCATGAACTACATGGTGTTTTCAGTATCCTGGGGCAACAGAGAGATTATTTAGCTGATTGAAAAGAAAATCTATGTTGCCACCAAGTAGCCACCTATCCTTTTTAATTATTCACCTGGATCTTTTTTTTTTTAGAAGAAGATTCATAATTTTCTGAACTTTAAACAAATAATTGGATAATTGATATTTTATGAAGATATTATGCTTTCTGATTCAAAAACTTTCTGTCGTGAAAGTTTTGGTTGATTAGACTTTTTTTTCGCACAAAGATTTTTTTTTCCACTAATTGAAATGTCTTTAAACACACATTAACATGAATTGAACACATGATAGTAAACAGATAAAGTCATCAATGCACACATTCAGCGACATGCAGGACCTCTTTCAAGCTGGGCACCGTTTCATTAAACACCTGTCCCATTTTACCAGGAATCAGGATAAGGAATACTTTAATAATCCCAATGCGAAATTACTTTGGTTACATTATTCCATATTTGTATATAATTAGGGGGTCTCCGCTCCATCTCTGCATCAATTTGGGCAGCAAATGGTTACCTAGCAGCAGGTAGGTAACCATTTTCACCTAAGGTGTCTGCAAGCTTTTGTCCTAACTGGAGAAACACAAACTGAGTTACAGTGACAGAGTGAAAATAGCTTGTCAGGCCTGATATATGCACTCAATAAGGTTTGCCCCCATCTCCTTGTTCTTTCTAGTGTACATGTCTGCTTTGATTACATCCACCTCTTTATCTACCCTGTCTGTTCTCCCTCCCTTCCTCTTTTCTTATCCTTGTATCTCTATATTACTGCTGTTGTCAATGGAGCAGAAATTTTCACATCACTTTTAAAGGGGTGTGCTGATTTAAATTTTAAACAATAGTGTGTCACCCTGAAATGCATAAGTTGCTCCTCCGTATTCCCTAAGTGTGTGTATCTGTGTCTGAGCAGGCAGCTGCTCCATAACAGCAACCTAAGCAGCCGTAACGGCAGCACGGAAGACCTTTTCAGAGATAGCATTGACTCCTGTGATGTCGACATCAACGAGAAGGTAAGGGGTCAATTGCATTGTCTGTGTCTGCAGGCTGAATGTAGATCTATGCTTGGAAAGAAACTTTATCCACCATCTGTAACAAAGGAGGGCAGGTTGGTTAGGGTGTAGCGGCAAGTTAACTAACTTAACTGAAAAGAACAACATGTTTTCCTCCCAAAAACCAAAGATGTTGATTCTTTAATGTATGGAAAGTCTTGCATTTTAGATTCATTTAAAACTTATAAAGGATGTACCACATCTCTGAAGAAATACAGCAATTGTTTGCTATATTTGCAATATACACAAAAAGTGGGCTCTCCCGAACTGTTTATATTCAATCACGGCTGCATTTTATGAAATGAAAATGTTATTTTCACTCCAAGCTGCTTTCATTTTGTACAGCTTTCTACTGCCTGAAAGCTGTACAAAATGAAATTTCGTTTTGTATGCACTCTGTGTGTACAAAATGAAAATAAAAGTTGTCCACGTCTAAGTCTCTTCTAATTTACTAATCAAATAGTCACTAACCGGAGTATACAGCCTCTAAAACAGCATCAATCAAAGTGTAGTTTGGCTTCACCTTGTTCAGATTCTGTGAATAAATCTCATTTGGGGAACTCTAGCTATCTGATTATTAATCAAATAAATTGTCAAACAGTTTATCGATCAGCAAAGTAATCGTTTGTTGCTGCCCTACCTGTATTCTTTCAGAAATGTGAAATTGGGAATGAGTTGTTTCATTTTTTACCTCTTTTAAAGGAGATAATAAACTGTTTCAATAATAATACATCATTTGAAAACAGTTTATTTTCTTTCATGAGATGAATTTTTCTTTGTTTTAGTGTAAAGCATAGGTTTAGAGTCATTCACCAGTAGGGCTGGGTAAAAAAAATCGATTTAATCGATTTTGAATCAATTCCTTTACATTTTTTGCAAAATCGATGTCTAGGAAATGAGATTGATTAGTATAGTGACACGCGTGACGTTCACATTCAAATGAGCAGGAAAGATGCACTCAAGATGACTTCAAGCCAGACAGCTGCAGATATAGCCAATAGGTTGACTAAAGACATTAATAAATGGGGGCTGACCAGCAAACACCCTGTAGTTGTTACAGACAACAGTGCAAATATGGTGCAGAGGAGATAATGCAGCTCATGCATGTATCCCTGCTGTGTCACGTCTGCTTGCTGGAGTGAGGCTTCACTTTTTCACTTTTCACAAACAAGTTTGCACTTGTAAAACAGTTTTGTTCACATCTCAAGTTTAAACTGTCTTATTTACAAGTTTGCAATTGAGTTTAATATGACAGGAAAAAAATAAAATACATAAGTATTTTGAAACACAGTTGAACCACTTTCATTATTGTAAAAACAGATGGAATTGAAATTAATCGATTTAGAACTATAGGACTCAAAATCGAATCGATTCAGGATTTTGGCGAAAATACCCAGCCCTATTCACCAGACATCTTTCATAATGAATGTGAATTATTTAACACATGAATGAAAACTCATTTGATCAAGCTATCTGTTTCCGTCAGGTGAGTTCTCTTGAGAAGAAGGTAGCCGAACTCGAGAATGAGATTCTGATGAATAGCGACCTGAAGTCCAGACTGAAGCAGGAGAACACACAACTAGTACACAGGTGAGGTTGACTCATTGATGTACTCTAGGTCTTAGTTTTAGTTTGGGGTCTCTTATCATGTTGGAATTAGCTGGAAGATGGACGCTTCTCTCTCCATGCATTAGATTAGCTTTCCACTCTGGCTCACTCTTTGAGGTGTTCATTAGGTTTATCAAGGATTTTAGTTTTTTTTTTTTTTCTGATGCTTAACCAGTAAAAATTCTGGATAGAGAAAGGTAAGCTCTAATGCTCCTCTCAACCACCAGCAGAGGTGGGTGTCTAATAACATCTACCTTTATTAATACATGAGAAACAGACTCACCAGGCCGGCTTAATGACCTGGTTATAACACAACAAGGAATCACACACACACGCAGCACAGTTGGCAACATTTTCAGCATCATGGCAGTGATATGCATTACATCCCTCTACTGCTGAGACTGCAACCTGAAAGATCTCACTAAGTCAACTTAATGCATAAAACCAAACACTCCATTTTAATATGAACTTCCATATTCAGGACCATTTTACTGAAGAAGCTGTACTCAAAGTACTTCTTGCAGTGGCTGCCCTTGGGAGAAGTACACACACCTCCAAATTGTGCCCGTGTCCTGCTCAGCTGGTTAGTTGTAGACTGAGGAAGGTTATGGTTATCAGGCTGCAGTTAAAATGCAACTTACTGTAGATGCATTAGTGATGATTGTGTTTTAACTTCAGAGGAAGACTTAAACTAACAGGAATATCCTTGCTAGATTGATGGATCTGCTAGCAGGTTTCTGATTAAGGTGGTTATCGTTGGATTATGATTCAGTTGTGAGCATAAGGCTACGTTCACACTGCAGGCCTTGATGCTCAATTCCGATTTTTTTGCCAAATCCGATTTTTTGGCTTTCCTGTTCATATTTCCAGATATATGCGACTTGTATGTGATCTCCTGTGTGAACAGCAGTCATACAACGCAGGTGTTCTGCCTGCGCAGTAGAGGACGCAATGACGTCACAGGCCAGCGTGCTTTCGGTGTTTTCCAATGATAAAAACACAATCTTTTCAATATGGCTAAACATAAATACTACTCTCCGCATCATCGTCTGCCATGGTTGCTGTTTTTCTTGCCGCTTCTGTGTAGCAAGAAGCAGAATAGTGACCTTTGTCGGGTATTAATGACGTTCAGGTCGGATGAATCAGACCTGGTTGTTCACACACAGGTCACATTTGAAAAGATCTGATTTGTATCGGATTCAGGACCACATAGCCAAGTGGCCTTTGGGTTGGATTGGAAAAAGTCGGATCTGTGTTGTTCAGACTGCCATTAAAAGATCAGAACCAGGTCGCATATGGGCAAAAAAATCGGATTTGGGTCACTTCAAGCTGCAGTGTGAATGTTGCCTAAGTGTTTGGTAAATTGTTTTAAACTTAGTGAAGACACATAAACCCACTTAGTATGCATCAAGTACAAAGCAGCATCATATATCCAGTTCACCTTAAAGGTCTAGATTTTTCATGTCTAGCAACATTTCTATGGTTCGTCTAGCCTGTGGGTCTGGTTTAATCTTGTGAGAAGGAGACTGTAGCATTTTAAAAGAACCCTCCTGTTGATGTTGATCTTTATTAAATGTAATGTGAAAAACTCTTCCCAGGGTAAATGAGCTAGAAGAGCAGCTGAAGGACCAAGAGACTCGTTCTGAGCAAAATACCCAGGAGGAGTTAAGAAGACACAGAGAGGCCTACAGCAAAATGGAAAGAGACAAGAACACCCAGATAGAACTACTGACCAGTCGGTGAGAAATACATTTAGGCAATATTACACCAAAATAAAATAAAAATGGTTGCATTATACATAAAACAACTGAACTGTTGCAGGTCAAAAGATTGTATTTTAGTTCAACAATCCTGCATGTTTGAAACTGGAAACAGAAATTGAGTTTCTTAAAATTGATACGCTGTATTGTCAGAAATGTCAATGTTTCCTCTAAGAAGAAAGTGAGTGATGATTTTAGTTAGGATCTAAAAACCCGAACACTTAATATGTTCTGTTTGTTTGCTATAATGTATTTTGTACACAGTAATGTGCGGAACAAAAAACACTTCCTGATTGGCAGAAATCTGGCCTATGTGCAGGTAGAGTTATCCATTACAGTTACAGATCAGCCTTAGCTCTGATTTCAGAGAAAAAAAAAACAGATTCCATCTTCAGATAAAAAGTGAAATACTTAAAATGAAATAAAAATCTGATTAAAATTTTAGGTGTCTCTAATGTTACTTAGAGTTTTGTATTTGATGTATGGTTGTAGTTTCATATATTAACTTTTGCTGATCTCTGTTCTTTAGTATCAAGCATCTGGAAGAGGAGAACAGTGACATGTCTCTTACTTTGTGTCGACTCAAGTCACAGACAGAGAGACTTGATGAGGTGAGCCCAGTTCTCTTCTCCTCAGAAGGATTTTCAAAGAATAGTTTCCTCCTTTTGGGCTCATAGCCAAAGACGTAGCTTGGTCTGCAAATACGGCTTCATATGATATCATCTGTATTATGAAAAAACCCCTATTGGGATGGAACAGCATGTTTATTCTTACACTAATGTTTAGATAATGTCATATTAGAGGCTTAATGCCTACCTGGTTGGCAGTGTCGGAGGTAATGGCGCTGCAGAATAACGACATTAATAAATGTGTTTTTTTTTTTATCAACTAATTCATTTTCACATATTGGTAAGAGCCATTTAAAGCAATGCATTGCTTCAACTCAATCAAAGTGAGGGATTTCTGCCGCAGCGACCTGCAAAAGGGAGGCAAGGTGCGCAGACTCTGATTAGCTGGGGAGCCGCAATGTGGCGTTCAGCATTCATTGAACACAGACCGAGAGGAGAGATGATGGCGTAGAGCCA